CTTTCTGTACCTTTGGCCTCCTGGCTGCTGCTCCTGGCTCTCTCTGTCCCCTCTTCCTTTCCCCACTGCCTCTTCCCACATGGTACAGCTCAGTCTGGTCATGTCCACTCTGGACTCTCCCAGATGTCCCTGCCTCTGGATATGCTCTCCTTCATATCTATAATAAACTTTCTCCTCCACCATACCCAGGAGCAGTCATGACCTTTCTTTTTCTCTTTATTTTTTTCTTTTTCATTCAGAAGACATGAGTCTACCGCTCCTTGTACAATGTGGATTTCAGTACAAATTACACACAGTGGTGAGGGAAACATAACTAAAACCTCTCTTTTTGTAAACTAAAAAAAAAATCCTGGGTTGGAGAGATGGCTCAGCCATTAAGAGCTTTGCCTGCTCTTCCAAAGGTCCTGAGTTCAATTCCCAACAACCACATGGAGGCTCACAACCATCCGTAATGAGGACTGGTACCCCCTTCTTGCCTGCAGGCATACATGTAGACAGAATATTGTATACATAAAAAGAATGACTTTAAAAAAAAAATTCCTGTAAGTTTCAGGGAATCGACTTGAATCTGCCTCTCCGGAGTCAAACAGACTGCAGATAAGTATTCTGCGAGCGAACAGCCTAAGTTTTCTTACCTACTGCCTATTCCTGGAGGTAGCAATCTCTCCACCTTTCCTGGTCTTGGAACTTCCCTCTCCCAATTGGCAGGACCGTAAGCCTAGAAGTTTCAAATGTACACCCAAGATAAAAAAAAAAATCCTCTAAACTCCTTAACTTTACCTTCTCTTCCTAGTCTATCTTTGTCAACAGATTTCAAGTCAACTGCAGACTTCAACAGATTTCAAATCAACTGCAGCAACAAGCTAGGGGTTCCTTGAAAATCTGCATCCCAGACAGCTTCAAAATTGCTAGCCTGGACAACAAGTGAAATAGCCTGCTCTCCCCAGATTTGGCCAGCATTCCAGCTTCCAAGGGTTGGTTTTATTTATTTATTAATATCAATTCTTTGTTCATTTACTTAAAAAATTTCTGAGACAGAGTCTCTCTGTGTAACAGTCCTGGCTGTGCTGGAACTCTCTCTGTAGACCAGGCTGGGCTTGAACTCACAGAGATCCACCTGCCGCTGCTTCCTGAGTACTGGGATTAAAGGCATGTACCACCATGGCCCAGCTAGATTGACATTTTAAGTGACCAATGACATTTTTACAAGAAGGACAGAAGGTGGGTGGCCTGCCTGGCCTGTTATGCATTTTCCTCACCCCTCCACGTGTATACCCTGAATAAAATTTCATGCAATGTTCTGATTTGGGATTTTTTGTTTTGTTTTGTTTTTCTGTTTCTTTTGAGATGAAGTCTCACTACACAGCCCTGGCTGGCCTGAAACTCACAGATATCCCCCTGCCTCAGCTTCCTGAGAGCCACGCTCACAGGCATGCACCACACACCAGCCTTTTAGTAAGCTTTTAGGTGAGAGTCTGGAGTCTGCGATATTTCCTGGCTGTTCTTAGCTTATATTCCTTGACCCCAGGCTACAGTCACCAAGGGGTCGCCAGAAAGAAGAGAAAAAGGAATTTGCAGATATTTTCACATGAAACGAAGGTGGTATCTGCAGAGATGGGTGCTGAGTCAGAACAGGGAGGGGAGATAAAGTCACCACAGGGGAGGCGGGTGCCCAAGGGAACCTGATTATGTAGAAGTCCAAGATGTGACCCTGAAACATCCCGGGCTTTAAGGAGGATCTGAGATTGGGGGATGTGTGCAAGTGTCCTCAAGGGTTGTCCAGGGGGGGATCCACAGTAAAGTTCAGATAATCCACAAATCTAAGAGGAGAAAAATAAGCACAAATCCAGCCATGAAATAGTATGTATGCAACCCTGTAAAAGCAGGAAGCTCTTAGAAACTAAATGCATGCATGAATGAATGAGTGAAATATAGTGAAAGTATTTTTGGAGCTGGTGAGACAGCTCAACAGTTAAGAGTATATAGGCTCCGCCCTTGCAGAGGACCCAGGTTCAGTACCCTGTGTCCACAGGGAGCCTAACAATCTCCATAACTCCAGAGTCTCAAGGACTTCTGATTGTTCTAGAAAGTAAAGCCAACTTCTGATGTAAAACAGATGCAGCCTCCCCATAGGAACTCTGAAGCTTTGACCTCCTGGCTGTTTCAGTTCCCACTGGCACCTGCGATTGCAGCCCCACCACAAAGCACCCCCCCCCACACACAGGCAATTTGACACCTCACATAAAGCAAGTACTTTCTCCCAAGCGCTTGATGTCAGGCTCCACCCACCTGCTTGTCTACCACCACGTGTAACTGATAGCAAGGAAACCCTAAGGCTTTGTTGACAAGATGCTTTAACTAACACTACACCAAACCCACAAACCCATCTTAAACAGTTTTAGACTACGAAAGACGCATTTCTCGTTCTTTCTGAGGCTATTATAGCTGAGGGGCTGAGTAGGGCGCTCGCAGATTAATGAGCAGAGTGCTTGTAGCTCAGCCAGTAGGGCGCTTACCTAACATTCAGGAGGTTAGCAGTTCAGTTCTCTTAGCGTTGTGGTTCAAAGGACTGAACGCAGGCTGTCAGGCACGATGCAAGAGCCTTTACCCGTTTTATTGTTTGTTTTTTAATATTTTCAGACAGCACCCAGGTGGCTATGCTAGCACACTTAGGAAGCTGAGGCAGAAGGGCATTTGACATTAGCCTGAGCGATGTAGCTTGTGTTTTGATTTCTTGTTGCTGTGACAAACTCCTTGACGAGCAGGAAAGAAAGTGACTTTTATTTTAAAAACAAGAACCGTCAGGAGCTTACTTGCAACTTCATTACCAAATACAGGAACTGAACAAAGGGCGGAAAGCAGCAGCATTTTCCCGAAAATCAGGGATAGGGAAGAGAAACCAGGGCCACCCATGAGGAGGAAAACAGCAGCCCATGAGGCACTGAGAAGCTGAAAGTAGCTGAAAGGGTCATCCCTGAGGCCTGACAAGGAAGCCACGACGTGAGCCCCATCCACCCTGCACCTTCTGGGGGCTCCTGCAACATCTTGGAACCATCCCATCCTGCGCCATCTTGAATTTCACTCCCTCTTGATCCAGCACTCTATCAAACAAGCTACAAGTACTCCACCCACTGAGCTAAAAGCACTGAACCACTGAACCACACCCCCTGCCCCATACCCAATCCTTGATTGCCCATTTTTCCTTTGATTTATTTTTCCCTATTTCTACCATATTCCTGGTTGGGATGAATTCTTTGCTACCAGGAATTCGTTGCTGTGGGGGCTGAACAGCACATGCTCTACATCTGAGGCAGTTTCGCATCAGTTATCAGTGGCTGGCGTCTGGTTTTTTACCAATCCTGCTTTGCCTGGCAGAGATCAAGATGCCAATAAAAAAAATGCATTGGGTCACGACCTTCGTTCAAGCCAAAGCAGGAGTTGCTTTCAGGTGCATGTAGAAGTGCTCTATGACTCCAGGTGACCCCAGCATCACCAGTGCTGAAACCCTGATACTCTGAAGCCATATATACCCATGGGGCATATGATGTCAGCAGAGCATGCAGAAGTGTCACAAAAGCAGCCAATACAGAAAGGGGTGGGTCCACGGGACTAAGTGATGTGTGGCGACAAACAAAAAAGGCTGCAGAAAGCAAAGCAGGGGGAGACCCACTATGTGACAAGGGGGAAGGGAGGACACAGCCAAGCAGAGCAGCCCTAGGTACTGAGCCTATAGCCCTTCCTGGGTACTAGGCCTCACATCGCCCCAGGGTTTCAGGAGGATGGCACCTGTTAAGGTGATGGCGAGTCCTAGGCTGAGTGGGATGTGCACACACAAAAGGGAGTAGGCAGAGGAACACACTGGAACAAGTCCAGCCATCCCCCTGGCTCAGGCATATGTGGATCCACATAGGTCCTGGGAATTAGAACTTAGATCCTAATTGCTCGAGCAGTCAATCACACAGAGTATTTGGCTGTATCAGATGGTTAATGTTGAGTTTAATAAATGATTTTGTCATCATGAAACCAAAACCAAAATATAGCATGCTCGGTGCATTCTGACTAGTGAAGTATCAGGTCCTAGCAGGCACTCAGTGTTTACTGAATGAAAAAATATTGTTCTCAACGTTAAACAATAAAAAAAAAAAAACCCAGCAGACTTCCTTGCTTTCAAAATCAGATGTACCTGCCACCCACAGGCTCCAGCAGGGCACCTGCTACTGAGTGGATGATCTTTATCCCTGTTTCTGGGCCCCTTTCGTCCCTGTGTCTCTCAGGACTGTGTCTCCTAGCTAAAGCAGGACTCTGCCACGCGCATGCTCTAAGCAGCCGGGGAAACCGCATTCTTTGCATGCCAGGCTCTGAGAAACTCTGCCCAGGCTTTGCAGGTGGCTGCTGTGGTCTGAAAAGTACCGTGTTCTTAGCAATCCCGGCGAGCCCAATCGTGTATGATACCACTTAACAGGTCCCTGGAAACCCTGTCTACCCAGGAATCCTCGGGCTCAGGATCAGCAGGTGTCGCGGGTCCACGGGGAGCAGGAACTTTCGGGGGGGGGGGGGGCAGTGGGGGCTGCAAGACGCTTGCGGTGTTCGCCCGACAGCATCGTCGTAAGTTCTATCCCCCAAACCTCGGGAAACTCCTGGAAGCCGTGCCCCACCTGGACTCCTCCCCTGGTGCCTCCACCTCTCCACCGCTTGGGCTCTGCCAGGAACATCCACGGATGTCAGCCGGAAGTTCCTGCGCATCTTCTCGTTTCCTGCCGGGGGGGGGGGGGGGAGACGTGAGCCGGGACCCCCGAGCATCCCCCTCGTTCTATTTACTTTGGTACAGGCGCATCCCGTGGGCTCCGAAGGTAACAGGCAGGGCGGGGCTGCAACCCGGCTCCTCCCATCTCGGGGTAGGCGGAAGGGCGGAGCGCGAGGAAGACACCTCCCCAATCACGTCGTCCCGCCCCCCCCCCGCCCGCGTAGACCGGTCCCCGCCCAGCCGGCTTCCGCCTGGAATGAAGAGCGTTGCCATTGGCGTCTGTCCCGCGGACCCCACGCGCGTCCCGCCGGTTCCCGCCGCTCTGAGCCCCGCTGCGCGCGCTTCCATTGTCCTTACGGCTGTGGGAGCCGGGACGCGTGTGCGCTGCCTCTGCTGATGCCGAGGCTGCCTTTGCGCCCCCGTCTCACGGTGCGTCTCCCGCCCCATGGAGCCGCCCGCGGGGGCCGCGGCGACCGAAAAGGATCCTGCGCCCAAAGACGACCCCAAGGATGCCAAGGTCTCGGCGCCAGTTGGGGACCCCCCGACCAGGACGTCGCCTCCGCAGAAAGCTGGACACGCGCTACAAAACTGGGACACCGTGGCCACAGTGGGTGAGTGAGAACTCGCGTGTCGGGACGCAAGGGTCCCCTGCGACCCTGGGGCTTTTATCTCCCACACATTTCAGTACACGGTCTCCGGAAATGGGGCGGCCCTACGTCACAGAGCTTTAAGGAGGGTGACTTCACCTTGGGGACTCGGTGGCTCCCTGCTGGGGTGCCAGTCACCCCGGGGACACCACGCCCGGCCTCTCTGGCGCTTGCGCACCCGCTTGGGCCCTAGGGTGCCTCGGGGTCGAATCCAGCCTCCCTAGTGTGGACACCTGGTGGGGTTCACCTCCGGAGGACCCTTCAGGGACAGCTATGCCGATGTTTTCCCCGCATCCCCTGTGTGCCTGGGTCTAGGTTTTTCTTTAGTGGCTCCTAGTTTGGTCTCCCCGTGACCCTCCAGGTTACTCGAGAAGTCGGTGGCTTCCCTCACGGGCCGGGATGCTATGAGGGGGCTGGGATCACGCAAGGTATCGTGGGCAGCAGCTTCTCAAGTCTGTCTGGGGCATCTCGGAGACCTCGGTCGCTAGGACAGTTACGCCCAGTGTGTTGATTTTTAGGAAAGTGTTCCTGGAGGAGGGACGAAGGGAGGGATTGGCGTCCTCTGCTGGCACAGATGCTAGAGACTTCTTCGTGCACCCTGGTGTTAGAAGGGGTTCAGTGCCTAGGTTGAGGGAGTCAAGTCGGGGTTCCGCGCTAGGCTTGAAGGAGGATTAATACCTTCTGAGCCGGGCTGGAGAGATGGCTTGGTGGGTAAAGAAGTTTGTGACCCGAGTTTGATCAAGGTTCCAGCTTGGAGGAAACCGGCTTTTGATTGACTTTTGAAGGAAACGGAGCCCCTGTGAATGTCTTTTACTTATTATGATGTAGCCCTGGTTGACCTTACTGTCACTGTGTAGCTCAAGATGACCTTAAAGTGCACATTCCCCTGCCAATCCTTTCTAAGTGCTGAAATTGCGGCCCTACTCCACCGCAGATTGGTTATATAGTGCTGCGAACCGAGCCCCCGCCCTTGTTTTTGAGATATTGTTTGAACTGAAAGTCACTGCATAGCCCAAGCCCACTGGAGACTTCAGGCAATCCTCTTGTCTTAGCTTTCCCAGTGCTGGGACCATAGGAACTCACGGACACTCAACACTTCAACTGGTTCTCCACCCTTTTCTTTCTTTTTTGGAGACAAGGACTCTCTACATAGGCCTGGCTGTCCTGGAACTTACTGTGTGGACCAGGCTGGCTTTGAACCTAGAGATGATCCCACCTCCCAAGTGTTAGGATTAAATTCGTATACCACCACTCCTGGCTTCTTTGTTAATTTTTAAATTCACTTATTTACTGCTCCGCATATGGGCAGGGTGGGGGTCAGGGATCAATTTACAGACATCTGTTATTCTGCCCTCCACCAAGTTGGTCCAGGGTATTGAACTCAAATTCTTGGGTTTGGCAGCAAGCCTCTTCACCTACTAAGCCCTCTTTCAGGCCCACTGGGTCTCCCATTGGACCCCATTGGGCATCTTGGGAGCCTCCCTGGGCCGTGTCACATCCTGAATCCTACATCCTTTCTCTGCTGTGAGCTTGTTCCCTCCGAGTCTTCTAGAAGGACCTGGGTGTGTGCACATGTCAGCTTCCCCTCTCCCCAGTCAGCCTTTTATTTTATATACACACACTTAACTGAGCTACAAGAACTCTCATCATTGAGGACTCATATAAGTTTAGACTGTGACTATGACAAACATGGTGTTCTGGGGGTGTTTGAGACAGAGCTTTCATGTGTAGTCCTGCCTGTCCTGGTGCTTGTTGTGTAGACTAGACTGGCCTGGAGCTGCAGGTGCCTACAAGTACACACCACCCAAATCCACAGGGAGCCACCCCCACGCTCACAAGAGTACTCTAGAGCTCACCAGGCGACTCCTGCATCCCTAGTCAGTCCCCAGCACACGCCCTACTCTGCATTCTCCAGAAAATAAATATTGATGATATTGCCTCCTACCTGAAATTCATTTCATTCCAGGCTGAAGATGTGACTCCGTGAGTACAGTGCTTGTAGCTTAGGTGGAATAGTTCTTACAGCCCAATGGGAAGACTGCTTGTGGTTCTGCAGATAGGGTTTTGTGTGATTCAGTGGACAGTATTTATAGCTCCGTGGGTAGAGTAGCTCAGTTGATACAGTGCTTCCATTCAGTGGATAGAGTAGTATAGCTACGTGGGTGAGTGCTTGTGACTCAGTGGGTAGACTGCCTACTGCTCAGCGGGCAGAGTGCTTGCAGCTCAGTGGATCTCAGATCTAAATTTGCGTAACAGGCCCCCTCTGCTTGGCTGGACTTCTGCACTCATTTCCCTGGACTCGGGGGTGATGCCTTGTGTTCTGAGCTGTCACCTGTGCCTCAGTTTACTGTTCAGCACCTTCCTGGCTGGCTTTATGAAAGCCGGTGTTAAATCTGAAACTTGGTGTTAAATTCTCAGTACTGCTAGGGCAGGAGCTCTGTCTGGGTGGGAGTCTACTAAGATGTATGGTCACATGTCTGGCTGTCTTTCCGATCACCAACAGGCTAGCACCTTATTATACACTAGAGAGGAATTGTTGAGGGGGAGTAGGCACCTGGTCGTCCATAGTAACAATAATCCATATCTAGAGCCATCTAGAAGACACTTCAGGTAATTACGTTGAGGAGGGAGGTGTTTGGACACGGATGGGGACCCAGAGTGCTTAAAAAGGAAAAATATCATTCAGAAACTCATTCAGTCAATCACCAGTCAATACTGTCAGTCACAAGCATTCATGCCTGTGGATGAAATAAGAGCAGCTGTGTCATGCGCCTGTGTCCATTATGTTGTCCCCTCCACAAGCCCCAGCCTCACTGTCACTTGCCTGATTAGCACTAGAGGAGTAAGATGTGAGATTTGCATAACATTCATGGATATGTAAATATATACTTACCCACATTGTACCTCGAAGGCCTCCAGCTCCTTCTAGAGCAGTCCCATCCTAAACAGGAAAGGGAAGTCTCATCATAGATCTTTGCAAAGTTCCTAAAGACAGACACACTGCACAAAGCCCCTCGCCACAGCACCAAGTCCCTGAGCACCACCTTCTAATTCCTTGTGGTTTCTAGGGGTGGGGCTCATTGTCATTCAAGCCAAGCATCTGCCCCCGATGGAGAGTGAAGGATCATAGGGTAGAGGGATGTGTCTGGCTGAAGCACCCAGGAGCTGAACTGGATAGGAAGGGTCCTCCCTGGGGCCTGTGAGTGGTGGGGCTGATGCACTTACACCTTACACTCCTGTGTTTGTTGGGAGACCAACAGGTGAATCTACTCGCCCCATGCCATCTTAAACTCCACCAACCTGTGCCATTTTGGTTTAACCCTATGTGCATCATCTTGAACCCCGCCCACCTTCCGCCATCTTAAATCTCACCCAACCTCTACCATTTTGGCTTGACCCTATATGTGCCATCTTGGAGTCCACCAACCCTGTGCCATTTTGACTTGAACCTATGTGCGTCTTCATGAAAGCCACCCACCCTGTACTATCTTAACTGAACCTACCTTCATCATCTTGAATTCTACCTGGCCTGCTTCATCTTAAATAACCTACATGCACCATCTCAAATCCCACCTCTTGGCAGGCATTTTGAATTGTTCACTGACTTGATTTATTCTTTCAGATTACTTTTCCTGACTGTTTACTCCTCAAAACTCTCCTAGGACTTAAGGTATCCTCAACCCTTAGCTGTGTGTTTGTCCATCTCCTCAGCCACTGGCATCCTTTCTCGAATCACCAAAGGTGACACTCTGTTGTCCCTCTCTCAGAGGCACTTGTCCTGTATCACTGTGAAGGTGGTTCTAGAGTGAGTTTCAGGATGTTTTTGTTTTAGGACTGGGGCCAGACTGGGATGCCACCCAGAAGGAGGAAAGCAAGAACCTGTCACAACGTCAGTCACACAGGCCCGTGCTTCTTGCTTCAGTCACCCCTAAGCCTGGGTGCTCTACGCTGAGTCTGACCACACTCTTAGGACAGTACCTTCATTATCTGGAGAAGTTGAGCTTACTGGGGCTTTCTCTGTATTCACTCAAATTTTCATTTTATTTTATCTTTGAAATACTGGGCATTGAATATAGAATCTCATTTACACTAAGACAATCCCCTCCTTCTCCCTCTTAAGTCTCCTCACTCCTCCCCCTTTGTTTCCTGAGTCTCCCCTTGTAGCTCAGTCTTTCCTGGAACTCACTGTATAGTCCAGGGTGTCCTCAAACCACTGTTAATCCTTCTGTCCCTACCTCAGAAGTGCTAGGATTAAAGCCTGCCTCACCAGGCCAAGTTTATGCAAAGCTGGGGATTGAGCCCAGGGCTTCATGTGTGCTACACCAAATATATTACTTTCAGTTTTATTTCCTGTCTGAAATAGCCATCAGGTCATCACACTTCCTTTATTTTAAAAAGATTTTCTCCTGAGGTTGAGGGTGTAACTCAGTTGATAAAGTGCTTTTAACTCTGTGGGAAGAGTACTTGTGGCTTAGTAGATTGGCTCTTCTTATGGAAGGCCATCAGTGCTAATGACACATTGATATACCCGACACTTGGCTCCTCCAGGAATATTCTGGGCTGTACTTCCAGTCCACTCTTCTGTTTATTTTCCTTTTGTGAGGCTAGGAATGGAATGTGGGGAAATTTTTTTATTATTATTTTTGAGGGATGGAACCTAGGACCTTGTGTATGCTAGGCAAGCACTCCCCTGAGTTACACACCCAGTCCAAGAAAAATCTTATTAGTGTTATTATCATCATCATTATTGTTATTGTGCTAGGTGCTGGGGATATGGCCAGGGGACTCATTTGTGCCAGGCACGTACTCCAGCACTGAGCTGCACCCCCATCCATACCGCCCAGCTCTTTGAACACATAATGTGCTATATTTGACCTGGGACAAGAATCACCATATTCCAATATGATGGCGAAAAGGGAAAGAACCTGCATGCCTCTACACAGCCTACTGGGATTGTCCCTACTTGCACCCCATTGGTTACTGATACCTGGTTCTGGGCATCTGGGCCACTTTCATGTAACATCTGTGTCCGCCACCCTGGGAGCCTATTACATAAAAATTCATCCCTCCCCCATGCCAGTCATACAGAGAATTACTTCTGGAAGTTTCCAGGTATCATCCATGGATGGGGCACTTGACTACCATTTGTAGAGTGTGCACAGGGTGTGGGCAGCATCTTCCTACTCTGAGGTAGTCATTTTTTTAATTGAGGAGGCCACTCATCCTTGTGGCATAGAGGGCAACCTCGAAGTGTGTAAAGGCTATAAAATGGTGTACAATTAATTTGGGTGGTGATGTTTGTTACCTCGCTGCCCCCGTGACCTGGGAGTCACTTTACAGGTCAAGGGACTGTGCTAGAGTGACTGGTGTTAATGACTGGGGCTTAAACATCGAAGATGGAGTGATTTTTTTTTTTTTATCACATAGGGATGCTGGGGCATTCACTGGGATGGGCAGATAACAACATACATTTGAGTGATTGTGGGTATGCTGTAGTTTACAACCAAGGGATTAGGGGTGGAGGTTGTATAGGGGCAAACAACCGGATCCAGTGACAACACAATTCCTTCTACAGACTTTGAAAAATGGTGTGCAATGTGTATTAGCTAGCTTTCCATTGCTGTGGAAAAAAATCCTTGACATAATAAAATTATAAAGATGTGTTAGCGCCTGGTCTCAAATGTGTCTGTCTATAACTCCATTGCTTTGGACCTGTGGTAACCCAGAGCATCATGGGAGCATGTGGTAGAGCAGAGGTGCTCACTACATAGTGGTCAGGAAACAGAAGAGGAGACTGGAGTCCCAGTGCCCCATTCAATGACACGTCCCTGATGAGCTAAGTTTCTCCCACTAGGCAGTAAACAGCACCTTGCCCTGGGAGTTTCTGGTACTTTCTTGTTGTCTTTGTTCTGGCAGCTTCTGGCAGTTGGCGCTCTGTTGCACTGTGCTTTTCCACGGTGTTAGGTTTCTCAGCTGCTTTGCCTCTGCAGCTCCCCTGCTCTGTGTAATCAACACCACCAGCTGCCTCTGTACCCACAAGCCGCAGGCACAAGTGTGAAGGAAACAGGTCGGCAGCCATCTGACGCAGAAGCCATGCCGTGGACTGCACATCACAGTGCATCTGTCAGGTTCTGCTCACACAAAAGTGATGTGTCCCCCACCAATCAGAAACACTCACAGGGTTCTAGTGTCGCAGCACTTGCTTTTCTCATTGCTGCGACAAAATGCCTGATAATCAAAATTTAAGGGAGGAGGATTTATTGTGTCCCAGACTGGTGCCAGTCCATCATGGAGACAGGAATATAAATGTCAGGAGCAGAGAGAGGTGACCACTGGGACTCAGGTCTTTCTCCTCCTCCTTTAATCCGGGAACCCCAGCGAAGGAATGATAATGCCCACATTCAGGGTGGGATTTCCCACCTCAGTGACCCCCCCCCCACTTCAGTGAGCCCCATATTCAGGATAGCCTGGGGCAGACCCTGCTGAGGTTATTCTAAGAACATTTGGAGCATGCTTACCCCAATCCTCTCTGGAAAAGTGTATGTAAATACTCCCACCCACTTTTCCCATCTGATCCACTCTAGGCCAGTCCTGACTTCAGGATCACTTTTGACTCTCTGTGCCCCCTCCAGTCCTGTGTGTTCTGTGACAGGTGTCTCCTGATTGGTTGGCATCCTTTTCTAAATAACAGAGCTACAGAGATCCATTTTATATCCTAATTAATTTATTTTAAGCTAAGATAGCAGAAGTCAAAAGAAGTGTTTTTGAGACTGGGCATGACAAAGCATGCCTTTTCCCCCTTTAATACAACTTTGGTGCTGAACATGGTTCTCTTGGTCATTGGGCTATTCAGCCCACGGTCTAACTGTGGGTGGGTGGGTGTCTTTCTTGGTCCTGTGCCTAGCTCTACCTTGCTGTGGGGAACATCCTGCATGTTTGCAAAGATTGGGATTTTATGAGGTTTGCTTTTTCTTTTCTTTCTTTTTTTTTTTTATTTTGGGAGCAGGGGGTTGAGGACAGGGTTGGTTTCTGTAACTATCCTGGATATTCTGGAGCTTTCTCTGTAGACCAGGCTGACCTTGGACTCACAGAGATCTGCCTAATTCTGCCTCTAAAGTGCTGGGATTAAAGGTGTGCACCAACACCATCCAGTGAGTTTTGCCTTTTCTTTACTACATTATAAGGGTAAGCACTGTATGTTGAAGTATCATAAGGCAGAAAGCAACTGTGTTTAATTAAAAGTTGAGATGGGGGCTGGGTATTGATGGTACACACCTTTAATCCCAGCGTTTGGGAGCCAGAGACAGGTGGATTTCTTGAGTTTGAGGCCAGCCTGGTCTACAGAGTGAGTTCCAGTACAGTCAGGGCTACACAAAGAAACCCTGTCTATAAAAAAATGCCAGGATGTGGGAGTGTGAGTGGGTAGTTAGATGGGTGAATGGATGAATAAATTGGGAGTGGGGGTGGATGGTTTAGTACATAGAGTGAAACAGAAAAGGAGTGAGAGGAGAGAGAGGAAGAGATGGATATGGAGCTGGAAAAGGAAAGGAACAAAAGGGGCATAGCTAGAGATGAGGATGGAGAAAGATGAGGAAAGGAAGAATTAGGAGAGGGCAAATGCTGTTGGGAGAGGAAAAAATGAGGAGATAAAAGAGCAGAGGCAGCTGAGGGGTGGATGGAGGAAGAAAGTGCAGGAAGAGCAGAGAGATTCAAGAAGCGGAGCAGAAGCTCCAGGAAGAACTGGAGGAATGAGAGGAAACAAGGGAGGTGATAGAGGTGGAGGACCGAGGAAGAGGTGGTAAATAGAGAGAGCTAGGATTAAAATTACCCCACCAGGTCAGGTGGTGGTAGCACAGGCCTTTAATCCCAGCACTCGGGAGATAGAGGCAGGTGGATTTCTGTGAGTTTGAGGTCAGTTCTGCTCTACAGAGCTAGTTCCAAGACAGCCAAGGCTACACAAAGAAACTCTGTCTTGAGAAACAAAAAACGTACCCCACTAGGAGTTGCGGAGTCTAGCATCTGGGCTCTTCCCGTGACAGTGTTTAAATCATGGCCGACTTGAAATACAATCTCCAATACGTATAGCAGACAATTATTTTTTTAAGTTTTAGTCATTATTATTACTATATGTATGGTTGCATATTATAGCATCCTTGTGGACATCATAGGAAAGTTGTTGAGTGAGTTTAAACCACCCCCGCCCTGCCTTACATGGGTGTCTAGATTTGATCTCAGGTTATCAGGTTTGCAATGCAAGCCCTTTACCCTCAGAGCCATTTCCCTGGCTGCTTAATTGACAGTTGTGTATAAAAACATATGCATAAAGTCCTCAGTGCTCAAGTAAGTTTCTCTCCCTGTGTCCAGCTTTCAGGTCCCAGGTCAATATGGTGTTCATTTCTCAGATATGTATGCTTTTCCTGATTGAGGGGAGATTTGACTGGCTGCTTTGTTTTCTTTAAGGCACCGGAACATTCGGCCGCGTGAACTTGGTGAAGGAGAAGACAGGCAGGAGGTACTATGCCTTGAAGATTATGAGCATCCCGGATGTCATCCGCCTGAAGCAGGAGCAGCATGTGCAGAATGAGAAGGCAGTTCTGAAGGAAATCAACCATCCCTTCCTTGTTAAGCTGTGAGTTCCTGGCTCCTTCTTTCTAGCTCCCCACTTCTGCAAGGTTATTCTCTCAAGGGAGCATTATCGGGAAGGTGCTGGCTGTAGCTCAGTGAGTAGAATGCTTGCAGCTTACATGATAGAGAGCTTGTCGCTCAGTGGGTAGAGCACTTGTAGTCCAGTTGACTGATTGCATGTAACTCAGCAGGGAGAAAGTTTGTTGCCCAGAGGATAGAGTGCTTGCAGCCAGCTAATATAATGCTTGTAGCTCAGTGGGAAGAGTGCTTGCCCTCACCTAATAGAGTGCTTGTAGCTCAGAGGTATGAGGTAGGAGATGCTACCCGGGTTTTGTCTTGATTTCTTCTTAATTGTGCATGACTGTGCACATCCAAATCATACCCACAGAGGCCAGAACAGGGTGCTATATCCCCTTGGAACTGTAGTTTTGGGTAGTTGTGTACTGCCCAGCCAGGTGTTGGGATGCAAAGTTGCATCCTCCACAGGAGCAGCAAGTGTGCTTAACCTCTGATCCATCCCTCTAGTCTCAACCTATGAATTTTTATAACAACTCCTTTTGTGTGACCTGAATAGGCCTTGTGATGCTGATATCAATCTCTTCTTCAATATGATGCACCTGTAGAAGTCAAAGACCTGGATCTTTTATTACAGCATCTAGTCAAGATGACAGAGTAACCTAATTATTCATTCATAATTTTCATCTAAAACTCAACTGGTGATTTTTATCAATGTTAAAACCCTTTTTTGTATTTTAGAAATATATACACATTTATGTAAAATATATTATATATATATGTGCACATATATATGTCTATATATATATGTGGAGATCAAAGGATAACATCTGCCATTGTTACTTAGTTCGCACTAAGAGTTTGAGACAAGGTCTCCTGCTGGAACTCAGCAAGTATGACTGTCCCGTGAGCCCAGGAGAGGGTAAATTACCCGGCATGACATCATTGAAATACCACCACATGATAGTCATGTTATTCTAGAGTGTTCCATCTTGTTAGAACATCATAGATGTACACTATAGTCAAAATTCATTAGAATAGCATAGAATTAGAGTATCAGAGTTTGGAGAGAGGATTCAGTGGTTAAAAGCATCTGCTTCTCTTGCAGAGGACCCCAGTTCAATTCCCAACCCTCACCTTGCAACACACAGTCCTCTATAATTCTAATTCCAGGAGATCCTATGCCCTCTGCTGGCCTCTGTGTCTGCTGTACTCTTATATGTACACACACACACACACACATATATATGTACACACTTAAACACACAGATATAAATAAAATACAGAGAAGTATTTTTTAAAAATTTAAAACACAAGGACCTTAAATTATACATGAACTTAAATATTAGCCAAAATGGGTTCCTCTTGGTGGAAACACCAACTAAGGCTCATCCCTCTGTATCTGTCCCAGTCCTTCTTATGAGGACTCAGTCCTGTTAAGTCAAATCTATCCCAGAGACATCATTCTACCTGTTTCCCCATAAAGACCCGGTTCCACACACAGTCCTGTCCCAAGGTCTTGGGTGTGCAGACTTTTAACACAGAAATTTTGGAAGGATGAATCCTGAGTGGTTAAGTCAGACTAGACATCTCCACCCACTCCTGTGTGACTACACATTCCTTATAGGAATCTTTTCTTGCTTTTATATATTTTGCATTCATAGGACTCAACAGGCAGGTTAAGAGCTAGGTTAAAGTTCACTTAGTGTTACAGGGACTTGGAGTACTTACAGCCTGGCAGAACATGCCGTGTATCTGCCCAGCTGTGGGAACACAACTTAGTCGGGCCTTTGAACTTTCAAGGATGATGTGCATGCTGCTGGAGATCTTCAGGGTCATCATCCTGCTTGCGTGTGTCAGCTGTGAACGTGGAGTAGTCTGTTTGTCTTGAACAGACATGGGATGCATAATGAGAATGGCTTCAAACAGCTGATAGGACTCTCAGTTTGTATTGCTGCAGGGATCTGGGCTTATTTGCAAATGGCTTTAGTAAGAGTTGGTATTAGACTTAGCCCACTGTGGGTGGCACCATTCCCAAAGTACAGGGAAAATGTCCTGTTTCAACTGTCAACTGACACAACCCAAAAAGGTCTCACTGAGGAATCTTCCACTTCAGATCAGCCTGTGGGCATGTCTGTGGGAGTGTTCTGATTGATGACTGATGTAGGGATCTGCCCACTGCAGGCGGCACCATCCCCAGGTAGGATGAGAGTGTGCTGTCACTTGACACAGAAAATTTGTGCTCTGATTGGAGACCATGATCTCTCTTCTTGTACAACCATTCCTTTTATGTCAGAGGGATATACACACAGAGATCTAACCAGGAATGAAGCCTTGAGTAGAGTAAATTTTTGGAGAGGTATGAACTATAATCTCTGAAAGGCCCAGTGTCTCCGGACACAATACAGCAGGTGTCTAGAGGAGCCTCCCATCCTAGGGGATTATAGTCAGAGAGTGATCTGTAGACATTGCTTTGTGCGCGTGGAAAGCAGTGATGTTTTTGGATGAAAACCTTGTGGTAGTTGGGAGAGTTACTTGGCGGGGGGAGGGGAAGAGAGAGAGGGATAGATAGATAGATAGATAGATAGATAGATAGATAGATAGATAGATAGATATTAGTAGATAGATATTAGTAGATAGATATTAGTAGATAGATGATATAAATGATAGTTAAAGATAAATGATGGATGGATAATGGATAGATGATAGATGGTAGACAAGATAGATGGTTGGATGGATAGGTTAAATAGCTAGTTAATAGATGATTGGTAAATAGAAGAAAGGTAGATACATACATACATACATACATACATACACACATGCATATGTTCATACATACATAATACATACATAGTTTTGGTTAAGATCAGGGTGTTGGTGAAGGTCCCACCTAGGGCAACACTGGCTTAGCACATACTCTGCCTGCGAACTTCACCCTCAGGTTGTCCTCACATAGCAACCTAAGACATCCTAACATCAACCTGCAGCCACAGTCCATCTAAGCACAACCTTACCATTAGGTGAACTGACATCGGGCATCTTAATCAAACATCCTCATTTCTTACTGGCCAGCTTTGACTCTGTTGCTATGATAAAACAGTGACACAAAGGGACTGAGAGTCTCTAAGGGTTAACTTGGCTTTCACTTCTCTGTCACCATACCCCCCCCCCCCCCCATCTTGGAGGTAAGGCAGAGCAAGCAGAAGCAGAAAGTTTTCATCCAGCACAAGAAGCCCTCTCCACAGTGGGCAAGTTCTCCCATGTCAGTCATCAACTCCCTGCAGATACCCACGGGCCAGTCTGATGTGGGAAATGTCTCACTAAGATCCTACCTAGGTGACTCCAGGCTGTGTCGAAGGTGACAGCACATCTTACTGCAGCTAGGGAATGGTGTCACCCACAGTGGGCATGATCTGCATTCATCAATCAATTGAATGAAGAACCTCCTCACAGACATGCCCACAGGCCAGTCTGATATAGAAAGTTCTTTGTTGTACCGTTGACAGTTAAAGCTAACCAGGGCACATACATATGTTTGCACCTTTTTGTGTATTTATCTTTATATCTGTATTTATACAACAGGCCAGTCTGATAAAGAAAGTTCTTTGCCGTACCGTTGACAGTTAAAGATAACCAGGGCACATACATATGTTTGCACCTTTTTGTGTATTTATCTTTATATCTGTATTTATACTTTGATATTTGTATATAGACACATGTTAGTGTCTGTATACACCAGTATATTAACGGGAACATCTACCTCTGTATATCCAGAGTCTGCACACATGTCTTGCCATCCGTATCTATCAATCACCAACATCCATCTGCATCTACATCTGAGCACCTACCTCAACACCCATCATGCACTCTGTTGCATCTTGCAGGTTCTGGACTGGCCATGACAACCGCTTCCTGTACATGCTGATGGAGTTCGTGCCTGGTGGTGAGCTGTTCACTTACCTGAGGAACCGTGGCCACTTCTCCTCAGTTGCAGCAATCTTCTACTCCACAGAGATCGTGTGTGCCATCGAGTACCTGCACTCCAAAGAGATCGTGTACAGGGACCTAAAGCCTGAAAATATCCTTCTAGATAGGGAAGGGCACATCAAACTCACTGACTTTGGCTTCTCGAAGAAGCTGGTGGATAGGTGAGTGGGAACAATCACAGGGTCATCGGAGGTTGATCGACAATTGAAGGTTTGATTTAGGTGGGTGAACAGACATAAGCAGAATGCACAGTAGGCTCTGGTGTGATGCACCCCTCCCTCCATCTATCTAATTGGGTATCCTATTATTTTCTTACTAATGTTGTTAAACACTCCTAAAAAAGTTTTTTAAGGAAGAATGGGCTTATATTAGTTGGTTCCTGGTTCCATCATGGGATCACGTGCCAATAGGACCATGTGTAGAGGGCAGCTGCTCACATTGCAGCCACATACAGGAAGAGAAAATAGGAAATAAGGCAGGGTTCTCAAACCCTGAGCTCACCCCCTGCTGGGCACCAAGTGTTAAAATACCTGAGTCTGTGGGAAGCAGTCCACACCCAGTGTACAACTTTGGGAGTGGTGGTGTCCAGGTTGTGAGCAAAGGAGAAAATCATTCTGTTATCAGAGTGGTTGAATTTTGTTCTGGAAAATTGTAATAATGTCCATGTGAGAATAACTTTGTATTTGAATATATGTGCATATGCAAATATATTTAAATACATATCTATATTACACGTACATTTGTGCAGTTTATATGTTTACATACATGTATGTATGCTTACAGATATACACATACATGTAGATTTTACACACACAAGCATATGTTCAGGGATACTATAGCTAGGTAACATGTTAGTTCCATTTTTGTTGTTGTTTTTCAAGAGTTTCTCTGTGTAACAGCTCTGGCTGTCCTGGAACTTACCTTGTTGACCAGGCTGGCCTTGAGCTCTCAGAGATCCGCCTGCCTCTGCCTCCCAAGCGCTGAGATTAAAGGCGTGCGCCAGCACCGCTAGGGGGCAGTTTGATTTTTAATGTATTTTTTTGCCTCAAGATGTATTGTATGTGTGTGAGTGAGTGTGTGTGTGCATGCACGTGCACATACATGCACATGCGTTACCCACAGAGATCATAAGAGAGCATTGGATCCCCTAGAACTGGAGTTACAAGTGAATGCCTGCAGTCATGTGGGCCCTGGGTACTGAACCCAGGTTCTCTGCAAGAGCAGCCAGCCCTCTTAAGGCTGAGCCACCTCTCCAGCCTCCATCTTAGTGTTTTCTATTTATAGAACTCTTTCCTTAGGGTCCTCTGCTCAGGGCTAAGGGAGCCCCTCGTAGGTAATGAAGAAGATGGTGTCACATTCCTGTTAAGCCATAGGGTGGGGGTGGGGGTGGGGGGAGAAGGCTTCACATTGAGGAAATCAGGCACTTTGCAGCCTCAGCAGGGTATCTCTGTGCTGGGGACAGATTCTCTGTGGTCCCAATACTAGCAGAGTATGCTAAATACCCTTGACCAACCAGACAACCATTGGGGTATTTTTGCAAAAAAAAAAAAAAAAAAAAAAAAAAAAAAAAACGGATTGCCTGTAGAGAGTTTCAAGGCTGTAGAAAGAAGTCAGGCCCAAGGCTGTAGAAATTTCCACCTAAGGCATGCAAACCTCCAGCCTGGGGCAGACACAGAAAGACTCAGCTTTCAGCCCGGTAAGTGGAGCTCTCTCAGGTCCAGTTACCTGTGGCCTCCTCAGCTACTGTGCTCTATCTACCCTGATCTTGTTCTAACTGAGTCAGGCTACAAGGATCGAAATCTGAGTTAATGGGCCCAGAAGCACACAGGAGCCAGTGACTGACTGGCTCCTAGTGTATTCCATCGGGATGGGGTATGAGGCAAAGGGTGTGTGTGCACCCCAAACTGGATGAGCTTGAACTCCTGATCCTTGTGCCTTAACCTCCCGAGTGCTTAGATGACAGGTGCGCATCTCATGTCCTGTTTCCACTGGGACTAGAACCTGGGCCCTGTGTCTGCTAGGCAAGCGCTCTATCTATTCAGCTACACGCTTCCCACCCACAAAGCTGTCGGCACTCTACTCACTGACCTATAGTTCCATCCCTGCACAATCCCTTGCACCAGGTCCGGATCCATTATTTACAGATTCTGGGCCTGAGTCCCTTCTGTACATTTCACTTGCAGGACTTTTCTCCCCATCTATTCCCTGCTCTGTCTGGTTCACTGCACAGAGGTTTTTCGTGTTGTGCCCTCCCACTGCCAACCTTCCTGAGCCACTAGAGTCCTTTTCGGAAAGTCCTTGTGCTGTGACTTGTCAAGTCCCCTGTAACTGGAGTTACAGGTGGTTGTACCACCACCACGTGGATGCTGGGGATCACAAGAACAAATACTCTTATTCACTGAGCCATCTCTCAAGCCCTCTCCCCCCCCCCCTTTTTTGGTTTTTCTAGACAGGGTTTCTCTGTAACTTTTGGAGCCTGCCCTGGAACTTGTTCTGTAGACCAGCTTGGCCTCAAACAGAGATCCGCCTGCCTCTGTCTCCTGAGTGCTGGGATTAAAAGTGTACACCACCACTGCCTAGCTCAAGCCCACTTTTTAAAAAATAATTTATTACATTTATTTATTTTGGATGGGGAAATGTGCCGTGGTGCATAGGTCAGAGGGACAGCTTGCAAGAGTTAGTGCCCTCCCGCCTCCATGTGGGTCCCAGGAATTGAACTACGGTTCTCAGGCTTGACACAGTGCTTTGACCCAGTGAGCATCTGCCTAGGGTTTCAAGCATGCTATGCCAATGCTCTGTCCACTTTGCCATGGCCCCAGCTTCAGGACATTTTCATCATGTGTAAACATGAACCTCTCCACACACCCTTCATTCGCCCCTCACAGCCCATTGGAATACATCATATCGCTCTACATCTTCCTGGCCCACACACTTCATACACACACAACATCATTGCAATATTTTTTCCTTTTCATGTCCAACTTATGCAATGGCCTCTTTATCTATGTAGTGCCGCCCTCCAACCTATCATCCTTTTCATTGCTGAATAATATTTCATTTTAGAGTTTGACCACGTGGCTTTATTAAACATTATATAGCTTAATTTCTTTTTTTAGTTGAATCTTTCTTTTGAAGAAAGAAACAATCAATTTTCTTATATGTTCTACAGTTTGCAGATGTCAGCAGCTGTTTTCCACACCAATTGGCTGTTTTTAAATATAAATTAAGGCTGGGTATGGTGGCACACACCTTTGATCCCAGCGCTCAACAGGCAGAAGCAGGAGGATCTCTGTGAGTATGAGGCTGGCCTGATCTACACAAGTGAGTTCCAAGATAGCCAGCTCTGTTACATAGAGAAATGTTTTCTCAAAATAAACAAAAACTCAGAAGTCCTGATGCTCCTGCCTCCGCCTCCACATCTCTTTATGCCATGCTGGAAATTGAACCCAGAGCCTACTGCACGCCAGGCATGTGCTCTGCCAACTGAGCCACATTCCTAGCCCCATCACTAATTTTTTTAAAAGAATGTGTAGGTTGAACCTAATGTCTTTATTTTTTTATATTTTTTTAATTATCATGTGCAGTATTCTGCCTGTATTAACCCCTCACACCAGAAAAGGGCACCAGATCTCATTACAGATGGTTGTGAGCCACCATGTGATTGTTGGGAATTGAACTCAGGTTCTCTGGAAGAGCAGCCAGTGCTCTTAACCTCTGAGCCTTCTCTCCAGCCCCATCGCTAATGTTAAAGATGATTAATACTGATTATTGATTCTGCATATTGATTTGCCCATCATCCCCCACCCTCTCCTTCCCTAGTATGCTTTCCACTACCTTCAGTTTTGTTTGTTTGTTTAATTATGTGTATCTGTGTGTATGTTCATGTGAGCACAGTACTAGCAGGGGCCAGAAAATGATCATGAGTCCATTAATCAAATTATGTGTAAGTTAATGCAAGGAAGACATTCAGCGAAGAACATGTCACTACAGGGTCAGTTTATGTTATCACCATAGATGAGGCAGCTGGGTGTGGTAGTCCATGCCAACCATGGGAGTAGGCAAGTTTGAGGCCGACCAGGACTACAAACTAGGAAAAGAGCTTAGATTCAGGAGTGTTTATATTATCCTCATCGTCATTATTATTGTGTGCATGCTGAATGTTTGAGCACATATTTGTCACAATGCAGGTGTGGAAATCACGGGACAGCCTTTTACAGTTCGTTCTCTCCTTCTGTTTCTTATGTGGATTGATCTTAGGCTTGTGTGACTTTACCAGCTGAATACCCAAAGTTTGGATTTCCTTGGCTTTATGGAACAGGTTCGTCTACCTAGGCCAACATGCCAGTCTGATGTAGAAAATCCTTTACTGAAACCCTTCCCAGGGGATTCTGGGTTATGTCAGTTGACAGTTAAGTTCACACAGCATCCCAGTGTAGAAAATGGGTCTGCCCACAGTGAATATGGCTTGTGCCTCAAATACTTTCACATCATGAAATCTTAGACTTGTCACATCAGTGGGTGTTCAGAAAGGTTTAGATTTGGGAGCATCTTGGATTTTTTCAGGTAGGAATATTCAATTTATGTGGCCACCCGTCAGTTTTCTTCATGGTGACCATACTTGCAACTTGGTCTTCATCAACCCTATGTTATGGCATCTTCCAAATTTCATGGATACTGCTTCTGTCATCCCCCATAGGACATGGACCCTCTGTGGAACACCGGAATACCTTGCCCCAGAAGTCATTCAGAGCAAAGGCCATGGGAGAGCCGTGGACTGGTGGGCACTGGGCATCCTTATATTCGAGATGCTGTCTGGGTGAGTGACCCTCCTGAATGCAACCGGACACACACGGTATCTTCTTCACACCCCACACAGTACCTTGAATCTCCTTTCTGACACTTGGCACATGGACGTACTCACTGCACTATCAAGATTTGGAGGGTATTTATTTTTCTATAAACCCAGTATTTAGTTTCCTTAAACGAGAATTTAAATTTTCAAAGACATTCATAGTTGCCTATGTGTAACATCCATCTTATTTGTGGGATGACACATGAGGCTGAGCAGTACCCACGGGGAACAAATGACACCAGTCAAACAGTGTAGTAGTGATAGAAGAGCAGATGAGGAAGGCAATGCTGTGCTGTTTCTTCACCACCCTAAATTTCCTTTCTTGGCAATGCATAGAATGTGGGAGTTATGGGCTTTGTTTGTCTCCCACTTGCCTGGAAGGTTGGTCATTCCTGAGGGTCACTATTATCTGTCAAGTCTAGTATACACTTGAGAAAATTGTATAAACATAGAAAATGAGATGTCCCCAGATCTAGGTGTAGCTGGAAGAATTGGAGGCCAATACCCTGACAGTGTTCACCTGTGTAGACCTAGAGTCACTGGCTCCTGCTGGGGAAGTGACAGTTGTCTCAGCCCCACGGGTTTTTCTCTGGTGCCTAGATAAAAGAAAGTCCATCCTTTGTGTATCAAACCAAGTATTAAAAAAAAAACAGCTTGCAGGAGGATTTTACTAAAATAGTATGAGATTTGTCAAGAAGGAGCATCCACCTACCCACCCACCCATATATACATACATATACTCATCTAACCATCTATTCATACATCAGCCCACCAATCCATTCATCTGTCCATCCATCCATATACTCACTTATCCACACACTTACCCATCCATCCATCCACCCACCAGTCATCCATCCCCCAACTCATCCATCTACTCACCCACCCACTCATCTACCGCATCCATCCACTCTTCCAGCTCCTGGAGGCTCCTGGTATGCTTGGCTTTTGTGGCCTCTTCAATCCCATCTTCACATGGCTTCTCCTATGGCTCTGTATTTGTTCTGTCTTAAGGTTACTGTTACTACATCTAGAGTCATCCTTACTCAGGATGAACTCATCTCAAAATCTGTCACTCATTCTCTAGGTAAAGACCCTATGTGCAAATGGGTCCCAGTGATGTTTTCTGGAAAATTTGTACATATTGTCTGTGTGTGTGTGTACAATACATGAAATATAATTTCTTTGAAATATCTACAAAATGTATAATATATAACATAACTCATAAGATACACACATATGCACACACACACATACACACAAACAAGGAAATGCTTTAAAATCAATATAAAATTTTTTTCATGTCGTACTGATTATGAAGAAAAGCCTGGGGTCCCAATATCTTTTTAAAGGGCACATCTCCAATACTTTCTGCTACTAAGCCCCACCTCTCAAAGGTTTATAATGGTCAGTTCCACCCCCTGCTGGGGATGAAGTCATCAACAGAGGCCCTCTATGCTTTCCCTGTCTTCCTGTGGCTACACTGCCTCCTGAGAGCATCTGCTTGCCATCTGTCTTCACATGGCCATGTTGCCAGTTTGTCAAGCAGTGGAGCCATCTGACACAAATTATTTTTTGCCTCCATTAAGCAAAAATAACTGGCACAAAGTAGACATAATTCTGTATTTAATTCTGCTAAAAATACACACTTCTCTCTGCAACAGGTTTCCCCCATTTTTTGATGACAACCCATTTGGGATTTACCAGAAAATCCTTGCGTGCAAAATAGATTTCCCCAGACACTTGGATTTCACCTCTAAGTAAGTGCACTTGCGACTTCCTGCCCTGTCCCTGTGTTTATTTTCAGCGCTTTGTGAAATAATACTGAAAGCACACACTCCTGGCAAATTCTCTGATTCATTACATATGCCAACCACTTTTCCCACCAGGAAGGGAAAGCTTTTCATTTTACTGAAATATAATATTTGAAAGGCCTGTTATATATCTCATTCCTTTTGAGATAGAATGTGTTGAAATTAATGCAGATTTGGAGCCAATTGTATAAGTGATCACTCTGTCCATCAATCCATCCATCCATCCATCTATCCATCCATCTAATTTATTAGTTATTAATTTATAGTTGAGTGAGGGTCCTATTTTGTAGCCCTAGCTGTCCTGGTACTGCTGTGTAGATGAGGCTAGCCTTGCTTGAACTCATAGATATTATCCCCCTGAGTTCTGAAATGAAAAATGTACAACACTGTGCCAGGCCTATTTATTAACTTTTTAACTTTAAGTTTTTAAACTCTTTTTTGAACCACTAAGAAAAGAGGGGCTTAGTGGGAAGAAGTTAGGTTATTGGAGATAGGCCCTTGAAGGAGATGCTGGGGTCCTAGGCTTTTCTTCATGATCACTTCAATGTGTAAATATGGTATTTTTATTAATGTTTTGACAATTTCATACACATGTATGGTATATTTTGCTGAGATTGGTTTATTAGTTGAGCTAGAAAGGCAAACCTCTGTGGCTCCACAAGTGTTCTTTTTTTCTGTCTTTTTCTCTTTATAAAATTGCATTCATCATAAAGAATTATTATATACAAGGTCAACATGTTGCTTAAAAAACATTTGCTCAGTATTCATACTGACCATGCATTTCATGAAGACTATGGTAAAATTAGTGGAAAAGAAAAAACAAGGGTTAAAAAATATATAAATACCTTTAACTTTCTTTGATTTGAGTGTGGTTAAATTTGAGCATTTTCTAACCAGAATGAGCCTTCATCTCCAATCGTTTATTTTTTTCATTTAGTTAATTAGGAAGAAGGGTCCACACAGTTCAGAACTTCTGATCCTCCTCTTTTAGCCTCCCAAAGGCAGGGTGACAGACAGATCTGTGCTACCTGTATCCAGACTATGTAATACAGCAGATGGAACCCAGGGCCGGGTGAGCACTGTACTCACTGAGTAGAAGCAATCAACCAACTGAGAAATAAGCATTCTGCCCACTGAGCGACAAACCCTCATCCAATTTAACTGCAAGCTCTCCGCCCGCTGTGTTACAGCCACCCTTTCCACTGAACTACAGTTCCTCTTGGATATTATTATGGGTGCTATGGATTGCAGGATATTTGTGTGCACGTGTATGTGCGCGCGCACACACACACACACACACACACACAGAGCATCCCATCTCCACCCTGCCTTAATTTCTCCAAGTCTTTGATTTACTGCACCTCACTGTCCTTTGCATTCTCTGTCTTTTATCCACAATAAAGACACAGCAGAGTGGCTGGTGTTTGGGATTTTATTCAGCAGGTGTGCTGGGGCTGCAAACTCGGTCTCCCTAGACAGACCTGCATAAACGAACACAGGTGTGGTCCTGCAAAGCCGCCTTGTCAGTTATACAGGAGGAAACAATGCTGGGATAGATAAGTGCTAAAGGGTTGCGGGCAAATTCCCTGGATGGAGGGCTTGTGGCTTAGTGGGCGGAGTGCTTGTAGTTCAGAGTACTTATCGGCAGAATTGGCTGGGTGCTGGTTGTTCAGTGGGGAGAGTGCTTATACTTCAATCAGTAGAGATTTTGTACCAATTTTCTACCATTTGAGTACTTGGTAGTTGAACACTGCGTAGAGTACTTGTAGCCCAGTAGACAGAGTGCTTGTGGCTCAGTGGGGAGAGTGCCTGTCACTCAGTGAGTTGTGCTGGTGCCTCTCTTGGCATGCCCCGAGACCTGGGCTTCATCCCTCACTGTGTAAATGGTACTACACACGTCTGTAGCCCTGGCTTGTAATAGGCAGAAGCCAGAGGTCAGGGGTTGAAGGTCAGTGTTAGGAGTGGGAGCCCAGGAAGCAAGCAGCCTACCCACCCTGCCCCCTGCAAATGCTTTCCCTATGGACACACTGTGCGAGTGCAGGTGAGGTTGGTGCCTGTGTTGTTTCTGGCATTTTCCATATCTAAGTGGTGTCTGCTCTGTTCATGCAGAGACCTGATCAAGAAGTTGCTGGTGGTAGATAGGACCCGGCGCCTGGGCAGCATGAAGGTGAGTCATGCCAGGGTGTTCCAGTTTGCACACTGATAGTAACATCATCAGGGTGTTCCAGACCATGCTCAGTGTTCGTTATTTTTGTGGTTTGTTTGTTTTTATTAATTCTGTGTATATACTACCTGGGTATATCACCAGCCACAGTGGGCAGAACACACCGGTTTCCCTGCTGCTGCAGTTATAGGTTGTCCACCACCATGTGGGTGCTGCAAACCAAACCTGGGTTCTGTACAAGAGTAGCCATCTCTCCGACCCATTTTTGCTGTTTCCATGTAGCCCAAGCTAGGCGTAAACTATGTAGCTGAGAATCACCTTGAACTTGTGACCACCCACCTCTACCTCCCAGAGCAGGCATGACAGACTTGCAACACTCCTCATGGTTGACTTATTATTCTTTGTTAGAGTTTTATTATTATTTATTTGCTTGTTTTTTCTTATTTGTTTGTTTGTTTGTTTTTGAGGTGGGGTTTCCCCAAGTAGTCTGGCTGCCCTGGAACTCTCTATGTAGACTAGACTGACCTCAAATTTTACAGGAATCCACCTGCCTTCCTTCCCAGAGTGCTGGAATTAAAGGCATATGCCACCACATCTGGCCACTTATTTTTTTAATCTGCTTTATTGGAGAGAGACTTTACAAATACTACCACATACACACACACACACACACACACAGTTTTTCTAAAGCTTTTTACTGTATATGTTTATTCTCAAGAACGGGGTAGAAGACATCAAGCGGCACCTATGGTTCCGGGGTGTGGAGTGGGAGTCAGTGCCACAGAAGAAACTCAAGGTAGGACTATCATACACCCTTAAACTAAATGAACCCCTCCATATCCTAGCCTAACCATCCACCAAGCTCCCACTGCTGTGTCTCAGTCTTAAAAATTAATTTGGCAGAGATTTATTTAGTGATTGTCTCCATGTATGTGTATTAGTTTATGTACACCATGTGACTGCAATACCCGGGTGGCTTCAGCCCCTCCTTGTAAAATTTACATTCTGAGTGACAGGCAGTGCATGGCCCCACTCAGCTGCCTCGTGTTACCATTCCCTGTGAGCCATGCAAACATTACTGTCAGTCAACAAAAGTATTCGACTTCCTCACATTTCTGCATAATGGTGCTTCCCTTATTTATTTTGTGTGACCCTTAGCCACCCATTGTACCCAAGTTATCGGGTGATGGCGACACCTCCAACTTTGAGACTTATCCAGAGAGTGAGTGGGACAAGACCCCACCTGTGTCTGACAAAGAACTGGAAACGTTCAAAAATTTCTGAGGAACGGGAACCCACATCTGCAAGGTGAAACTTTTGTATTTCTGAATTTTAAGGTAGGATGTCATATAGCCAAGGATAGCCTTGAACTTAGCATGTGGTCGAAGAAATAACACTCTGTGCAGCTGAGGATGGGGAGTTAGCCAGTCTGCAGGATTTCTTAAAATGATTGACAGGTCAGTTACTAGTAGATATTGCCAATCACTTAACTGCCCCCCTCCCGCTTTCTTTTTTCTTTGCTAGAAGCATGAAGAATTCCACGCAGTGCCGAGGACCAGAACCATTTTTGTTGCTTGACTTTATTTTCTTTCCTGAAAAACTAGAAGGATTCGGTATATGTATCCACTACCCATTCAAGGCTAACGGGATCATTGCCCTCGGGACCCAGCCTCATTTCAAAACTAGAAACCTGCCCGTTGGGAAGTTTGTAAAACCTGTTAAATTGTAGATTTTTTTCCCTTCTTTGTGAGTCTTGTGTTTGTGCTGTGTAGTTATTGTTGTTGTTTCGCTACTGAATTTTGTAAGTTTGAATTTGACCCATTTAATTCTAGCTGTCACTGTGTATGTGCACAGACAATGTGCAAAACTGATACTTTGATATGCCTGGGACATGTTTATTTTCCCAAGTTTTCTGAAAAATCTGTCACCCTGCAGGCAAAAAAAGGGGGGGGGTGAGATATATGCATTTTTAAAATGCTTTTCTATGCATTTTGCAGTCATTTGTGTGCATTGTTTGTTAGGTTTCTCTCTGGTCACTATAAACTTGGAAGGCAGGAAGCCACATGCCCTGCAGACCCTCTTTCAAATATGGCACAAACAGGTGACTTTCTGCAATCTTCCAGTTTACACGTTTCCAGTAAAATATCCTTTCCTAAAATTAAGCCAGAACTTTGTATAATGCATTAACCACTTGGCATCCTGGGTGCAAAGATTGCCTTTTTATGATAATACAAATTTATCCACATTCCCAAAAGGGAACTTTAAGGATCCACCCCTCAACTCCCTCCTCTGTTGTAAATGACATTTTCTTCCCACCAAACTCAATCCTGTTCTTCCAGCCTTGTTCATCTGTAAAAACTCAGGTTCTAGGCTGGTAACTTTTTTTTTTCTTTACTTTACTTTTCTTTTTTTCTTTTTTTTTTTTTTTTTTTTTTTTTTTTTGAGACAAGAGTTTCTCTGTGTAATGGGCCTAGCTGTTCTGGAACTAGCTCTGTAGACCAGGCTGGCCTCAAACTCACAGAGATCCACCTGCGTCTGCCTCCCAAGTGCTGGGATTAAAGGTGTGCACCACCACTGCTCTGCCGGGCTGGGAACTTTTTTTTTTTTTTTTTTTTTGTGGTTTTTTGAGACAGGGTTTCTCTGTGGTTTTGGAGCCTGTCCTGGAACTAGCTCTTGTAGACCAGGCTGGTCTCGAACTCACAGAGATCCGCCTGCCTCTGCCTCCCAAGTGCTGGGATTAAAGGCGTGCGCCACCACCGCCCGGCCGGGCTGGGAACTTTTATGAACGTTTGTACAGAGCTATATTTTCAGTGAGCTTTCTCAGCCCTTTCGAGTATGCAAAATAACTGGGTTATGTACCACAAACAAACATACACAGGAGATAGAACTCAAGATTATAATCAAGCCCTGTGAATACACACGCTGACCCACATAGGTGCTGTCTTCATTTGATATTAAGTAGGAAATAATATAAAATCAGCGTAGGAAACATCGCCTTAATTCTAAACATATACGGGGAGATCACACATATGCACATGCTCCCACTGTGTTTGACCCCTGATCCTAAAAATAAAATTAAACACCCTTATAAATTATATCATGTGATGTCATTGTAGTGACATCAGGTAGTGCGTATGAATCATAATTTTTATTTTAATATTCTTAATGTGTGTGCATGTGGCTTCAGTACATACGGGGCCAGCAGAGCACTCCAGAGACTCTGCAGCTGGACATACTAGGCGATTGCGTGCTGCGCTGTCCATGTTGGAATGGATAAAGGAACTATGTCCTCTTCCTGCCTCTGAGTCCAAGGAGAACTGAGCACCCAGCACCTTCTCTTAAAGCAATGGGACAGTTAATGAATTTCAAATTTCTCTGATGGTTCGTTGACTTGAACCAAGTACAAAAGATAATCAGTAACGACTACTAATTTAAAAACAAATCCCCATGCTCTCCAATCAAGACTAATTTTTGTGTGTGTGTGTTTAGTAGCTATAAAGTACTCAGTGCTGCGGAATGGTGCTCACCTCACCTAATTAACTGTTACATGTTACACTGTAAAACGTGATTTGACGGCTAAATACTGTTCACAGGACCCTCGGGCTGTGCTTATATCTCAACATTGGACCAAAACATAGCAGTCAATCACCACTGTGTTGCTCGGTGAACCCTAGGCAAGATTTAGCATTGTGTGGGGCTCTATGTTGGAATGAAAAACTGGAGAAAGGGTCTTTCACTTCTGGCTGTATATTTTGAGGTGTGTTGATTTCCTGGGTTGTGTGTATGTGTGTGTGTGTGTGTGTGTGTGTGTGTGTGTGTGTGTGTGTGTGTGTTGTTGTTGTTGTTTTTGATGAAGCTACATAGGGAGCATTGATGAATGCCTGACACCCGTCATTCTTGTTTCACACACACACTGCAAACCACCTGAAAATGATGATGCAAAGTCAAGGTTTTTGTATGAGTTGGTTTCTCCCATCTGTGTGTTTGTGTCCGTGTCCCTATCCTTGCTTGTTCCCATCAAATCTGCCTTGTGAACCTCACAGTCTTGCATCCAACCGCACACTGTCATTTCCATGGGGGTGTGGGTGCTCTAGCTGGCTATGTAATAGACATCCTTACTTGTGTAACTTGGGGAAAGTGAGCGGGAGCAGGAGCCTTCCCGGCCCTCCTGGTCCTCACAGGTCAGACTCAAAACCCCTTGGCAACCTCAGTTCTTCTCCCAGTGTGGGGATTCACCACTCGACCTCCTGATGGAACAGGTGTCGCGTACACTGTGCAGGTGTGTCCCGCTGCTGAGCACTTGCTGGCTCATCTGAAATTAGCACCTGGAATGAAAAAGCCTGGTCTTTCATCTTACTTTCTAATCCTGCTGCACAATTTAAAAATCACTGTGATTTGTGTATATATCTATCTATATCTTTCTATATATATTTGCCCCCAGGAAGATTTTTCTGCTGTCTAATTTATGAAATAATACTATTGAGTCCAGGTTTGTTTAATAAAAGTTTGTATGTTAAGAAATCTGTCTCAGGTCCTTCCTTGGCTTTTCCTGTAATCCGGGTTAACACTATAGAACAAAAGTGGTTAATGACCACAGTGGTCCAGTCACCAGTTGGTGACCATTCTGAGAGGCAGAACTGAAGATGCTCAGATAAAGTCAGGTTTATCAAGGAAATGGGTATGTACCCCTGTAGCAGGGGCTGATGATTGTTTCCATGAAAATTAGCACCCCCAGGGTTTTTCTAGTGTTACAAACTGCAGACAGCATAAAGGGGAGGAGGGTCATAACCTAGTCAGGGAGAAGAGTGAGCAGGGAGTGGTGGGGCTGCATGAACCCAAAACACCTGCTGTTACAGGAAGATTTTTCCCAAGGGAGAGTAGAAGCCACCTGGAGTTGACTAAGTGCACATGCTATCAGAGGCCTGGATTCAGCCTCTCAGAGGAGTGAATGCTTCCTTCTTCAGCAGCTAAAAAACAAGTTTTCCTGTTGGCACACGGAAAAACCTCCCTTCCTAGCCAGCCTCAACTTGGCTTGATGGACACGTTCAGTAATCAGCACCCAGAACACTGAGATAGGACAATGTTGGCAGCCAGTCAAGGCTAAACAGCAAGACAGTTTCAAAGAACAACAAACAAGCCAGACCTCAGTTGGAGGCCTCAGAAACTTCACACCTAGAGTGGCTCTAAATTAACAACACTATTTAAAAAATAATAATGATTGCACTACTAGGTCAAGCAGAATTAGCAACTTTCGTTTTTTGTAAAAATATCTGTTAAAAGTTTCAATCTGTATACAAATATATAATACAACATAATTAGCTACGTTAAATACTACAAACTAATGTGAGTCCGATGGGACAGGAAAACCACATTTAAGCTCGAACCATTTTTCTCGCCATATTAGCATTTTCTCAAATACATGGGGAATATGAGGTGATGATAAGGTGCATGGAACAGGGCCCCCAAATCACATGTTTGTGTGTGTGTGCATAAAACTTCTAACACAGGTACTGGGCCTAGCACTACTGAGAGAAGGTCTCCACCGTCGTGCCTTGGTCAGAAGTTGGTAAACAGTAAACAATGCCAAGCCCAAACCACAGAAAATCATTGGTAACATGACATCTGCAGCAAGATTGCCAAATCACAAACATCCTAAGTAATTGTCTCATAAATCTCTTTTAAACGATTTTTTTTAGTCTATTCTCCCCCAGTAGCTGCTCATTGAAATCGGCACTGCAGCCGGCACAATCCATGAGCCAATTCCACTACCCCAGGAACTACAAGGGTTTGAAAACCTTTTGGTGGGGTGAGGAAGGGTTGGGCGCTGGAGAAGGTGGTTCTCTGTGTAAAGCATGTGGGCTTTCGACACTGCTATAAATATAGAAACTTCACCTGGAGTTCTACCACATCAATGGCAGGCCCGGTTGGGATGCAGGGAGACAGGGCTAAAGCATGGAAAGGGGTGGTTGGAGCATTCCTGAGGCAGCAGGCGCCAAAGGCTATGGGCTAGGATGTGACCTCCCTACAAGTGGATGGATCACTCAGAGCAGCAACCCCAGATAGGGATAGGAAGGGAAAGGAAAAGAGTGTGACATGTAGGGAAGGTGGGGAACTCAGGCTTCTCCAGACTGTGGAGGGTGGGGATCAGGCCAGGAGGAGCCTGGAGGTGGAGGTTCACACCCTCCCTGTTCCCTGTTCTCAAGAGATTCCTAGGAGGAGACTCACCCACACAGGGGAGAGACAGAGACAGGCCCTGACTGGAGAGGAAATGCCCTGAAAAGCAAACAGTCCTAGTAGGCTCATGTGTCTTATAAAAGCTTATACTGAAATAGGTTCTTGTTTTGTTTCAGCTCAGCTGTTTTTTTTTTTTTTTAAATATTGTCTCATTACAGAGCCCAGAGCAGCTTGAAGCTCAGGTTGGCATCAGGCACAAATACTGTGATTCCTTTTTTTTTTTAACTTTTTGATTAGGTTTATTCATTTTATGTCTGAGTGTTTTCTCTGCATGTATAACTGTGCACTGTGTGCATGTTTGGTGTCCACCAGCGTCAGAAGATGCATCAGAGCCCCCCGGAACTGGAGTCAGGGATGATGAGTTGGATGGTTGTGAACTACTCTGTGCATGGGTGCTGGAAATCAAGCCTGGGGCCTCTGCTAGAGCACCCAGTGATCTGAACCTCTGAGCCATCTCTCCAGCCCCTAAATGCTGGGACTCTAATTTGGAACTTCCCTGCAAAACAGTGAAAACAAATGTTAAGGTGTGCCCTGCCTGAATATGACTCAGAATGAGGTAGTTGATTCTGTCTTGTAAGCCCAAGGTCCTACCGTTGATCTTCAACGCCTCAAGGAAACAAAACCCAAACATATTAAAGAGTCCTCAGATTTTCGGCACATGCCCCCTACCCATCTGACTCTAGATGTGCAGCTAAGGTTGAATCAGACGAATAAATAGGCAGCTGGAGAGCCTGTGAGGGATGAGATGAGCAAAATGATTCTAGACATGGTAGAGGAGGTACACTGGTACACTGGGGCTGGCTGCTCTTTGGGGGTGAAATAACTTGTTATACCACAGAAAGATGGCAAGGCAAGAACTCTGAGGGAGCTCAGGGCCATGCAGGAAAATAGGGGCCCCTCCTTGAGGGCTAAGGAGGAGGATTAAGAATGCACACTACATACACAAAAGACGTTACACTTCTAACTGACGTGATTGTGGTTGTTCCCACAGACCCCTCGCTGCAGGACACAGGTTCTCAGCATAGCTTGTGGTCTGCAAGAAAGGACCCTTGGCAATGTCAAATGACAGTTTTTGCTTTCACTTTGGAGAAGGCGTTGCTCCTGACCTGTGGAGAGCTACCTATTGCTG